ATTTCTTACTGTAGTATACATTTTGTGCTAATATCTAGTCGTTTCTCAGAAGTATGGTTTTATAACATAACAGAATTATTAATTATAATAATTAATATATTGTTTCCAAACGATCGCAACTATTGGGTATTTAATAGACAACTCTACGAGTTTGAAACCTTTTTTGAATTTCACTTTTATTCAATTGTACAATAGACTAAATACAATACTTTTACGTTTTTATAGTTATATTTCGCTCTTTTGAGCGACAATTTATCAATATTTACAACAAGTGTTGAAAAGTTCCGAAACAAACATTTTTGATTGCATTTTACTCAACAATTTGTCTAATAATTAGAAACATAGATTTTTATAACAACTAACAATATATTAAAGCAGTTATTATAAAATATATCATTTTTTCATAATCTTCAGAACCCTTATGCCATACTATTATTAGAGTAAAGATTTAATATCTCACGTTTGTGTCCCTTATTTGTTACATTCAAATATACTTTGTTTAGTATTAAACATAAAATTGCAGACATTTTTATCATAACTTTATGTCATCTCTTTTTTTGATGACAAATATTCTGTGAATTTGAGATAAATATACAAAAGAATTATGTTTAACAAAATGCCATTCAATTCTTTCTTAATGTATTACCAAAACATATTTTATCATAACTTTATGTCATCTCTTTTTTGATGACAAATATTCTGTGAATTTGAGATAAATATACAAAAGAATTATGTTTAACAAAATGCCATTCAATTCTTTCTTAATGTATTACCAAAACATAATTAAACTTGTATTTAAGTTTTGATTTATAATGAAATATAATGTTTAGATTTAAATAAATATTTAGAGAATACAATGAAATTATGATAACCCTTTTAAAATATTGTTAACAAAAGAATTGATAATGTTAAAACATATTTACTACATTAATACTGATATTAAAATGTTAATGTTAATACAGTAATTTAATAATTCTGTATACAATGTTAAACAAGCTAAACATTCTGCTCTATTATACTACGAGAACCGTTGTTCATAAAAATAACATGTTTTATATAAAAATTTTAGTTATATAATCAAATGAAAGGGTTTTCATTTTGCTATGAAATCAAAATATCTATAAGTGTTTGAAGAATATGAAAATTTGATGTTTTATGACTGTATTTCATAAAATTATATTCAAATAATAAAATATTGGGTTTTCTTTTAAAACTCAAAAATAATACAACCATTTTATAAATAACTTTTATTTATTAATAGAATTGTTTTGATCTTGATGATTTTGATGAGTGATTGAAAATAAAAACAAATCAAAATTGAATTTTTAAATTATACTTTGAAGTTTATTTCAATTTATATTCATTTTTCTAATTAGCTTTCAAATACTAGTAAATATACAAATTTAATGAATGAATTATTAATAAAGTTATAAATTATAATAGATATGATTTGACAATGAATTATGCGCTTTGGATGCGAGACATGATTTTCTTTTGCATCTCTTCGTCATTAATTTGATCCAAAGTAAGCAAAGATATTCCCAACTGATCCTCCTATAAGTGCAAAGTTTTCATTATAAGAATACCATTGATTGCAACTTATGATGGACTCACTCGAGTGAACGGTTGAGCCATTTGTTTAAGAAATCGTTTCGATATCTGAACGGCTTCTTCGATACTGAGGTTAAGGACAGAGTCTTTGAGGTATTCCTGTATCCATTTCGGCAACTTTTTTAGTTTATCTGAACGACTGAATCGCTGTTTATCACATAAAACATGACACATTCGTAAGCAATCTTTCGGTTAAACTATTCATACATGGGATACCTTATCTGCGAAACACATGATGCCGTAGTCTGTCTTTCCTCTGATGGCCCGTCCCATACACTGTGCTGTGTGTCTCATGGCGTCAAAAGTGAGAAAATCGTTTTCTCTGATCTGGAACTGATCCCTCAGGTATTCAAGCCTTGCCTTCAAAATACGTGATTGTGTGAAGACATAGGGAATGCCAAACATTATGACACAACGACCCAAATGGTGGTCAAAGTCTATCCCTTCGGATACCTTTCCTCTGGCGACAGACAAGAGAACAGCACCCCTTCCGTTCTCACACGCCTTCACATAGTTATAGAGTGCAAGACTCGTCTCGTGCGAGTCTTGAGTCTCAATGAACAGTAATTTATGTCTTTGTATGTTATCGACAATTCCCTGTTCATACCAAACGGACACAATCTGTTCCATATAGAGATAACTCGTGAAAAAGCAAACCA